GTGGTGAACTTACGTTTGAAACGTCGCTTGATATCACAATTTTCAAGCGAAAGACATTCGCCCCCGTCCAATACAAGTGGCTATAGAGATTTGAGATTATTGAGATAACTTATAAACGATGTAAGGGGCCCTGGCTTTACGCAAAATGTTTGAGATACTGCAAGTACGTGGCCTTTTCCTTCCGAGTCCAATGCCCATTACAGGCCATGTATTGTAGTCTACCTAGTCTTGCTGGCAGTACCTACGCTACCTTATTTGCTTTCTCACACCAGTGTGTATAAGTCAAACAGTGGGGTAAAAGAAAGAAAGACGCGCTCCAAAATCCAAATAAAGTTGCAGCTGACTCTAGAACTCGACGCGGCGAATAAGTTTGCCTGCAGGTGCTGCCGGTGCGGCGGGAGCAGCTGGAACTGGTTTTCCACCGGCGGGGACTGGCGGAGGAGCAGCAGCAGGAGGCGGAGCCGGTTTTCCCTCAGCCGGAGTCTTTGGGGGGGTTGCAGCAGGTGGAGGGGCGGATTTGCTTGCAGCTGGAGCCGCGGGAGCTGCGGCGGCCGGAGGGGCGGGCTTCCCAGCGGCCGGAGCTGCCGGAGCTGCAGCGGGTGAGGCGGGTGTAGAGTTCGGCTTCCCTCCAGCGGGCGGAGCGGCAGCTGGAGGAGCGGCGGGCGTCGAACCAGCGGGCTTAGAAGCCGCCGGCGGGGCCGGGGCCGGGGCCGCAGCTGCCGGTTTCGATGGAGCGGGTGCTGCCGGAGCTGCGGCTGGTGGAGGAGCTGCGACGCCTGCTGCAGGAGCTGCAGCAGCTGGCTGAGCGCCTCCTTTTCCTTTCAATACTCCTGCTGCAGCTCCGAGTACGGCGTTGAGAGGATTTGCTTGTTGTCCTGCGGGAGCAGCAGCTCCGGCTGCAGGAGCCCCTTTACCCTTGAGGACTCCGGCGGCGGTTCCCAAGACTTGCCCGATCGGGTCAGCGGCTTGAGACCCAGCCGGGGCAGCGGCGCCAGCCGGTTGACCACCCTTTCCTTTCAATAGGCCTGCTGCCGTTCCGAGCACGGCTCCAATAGGGTCGGCGGCGGGGGCCGCAGAGGCTGCGGGAGCAGCAGCAGCTTGCCGAGCCCCTAAGGCTGGAGCTTTTGCTTTCCCGGCAGTTTTCGCCTTTGCCGGTGCTACAGCACCGCCAGTAGTCTTCCCTGTAGCTTTCTTGCCCGTAAGTCCACCCAACAAAGAGCCGATAGGATCGGCGGCAGCCGCTTGCTGGCCAGCAGGCTGGGCAGCTCCCGCTCCCGCTCCCGCTGCGGCGCCAGCGGCTCCGGCAGCCTTACCACCAGCGCAATTTCTAGAGCCAGGTCAGTTTTATGTCCTAATACAGATGTTCTGCATGCTTCGACGTCTCGTTTCGTTGTGAAACATGGACAGATTGTTCTCAAAGTACTCACCCGGTGATACCGCCAGCCTGTGCCCTCACGCATTTGGCATTTTGTCCTCCCTTAATGAAGTCAGTCAACATACTGATCTTTATTGATGCCTTAGAAGTTTCTTACTGAGAGCAGACAGTCCAAGTCATCGAAGCAGACTGCCCCTTGCTGCGCTGAGACATACGTGGCCAACAAAGCAGACGTTACAACAGCAAGCACACGCATGGTGAACTAGTGATGGAGTTGTTCTCGATATAGATTTGCAATAAGGATGTGTTCAGTCCCCTTTGAGTTCTGGAAGAGGCGGGTAGCTTCGTGTGACGGTTTGCGAACACGAAAAGGTCGCATCAGGGGTGCTTCCCGAGTTTTATAGACGAAGAGCCATGGCTTCAGATCTCTTCCTGCGGGTCAGCTCATTCACCAGCTGAAGAGCAAAACCCAATTTTCTACCTGCTTCAAAGCCGAGGCAGTCTTCGGTGTCTACATGTGTTGTCCTCACTCACAAAGACTCGAGGCGTGCCTTCCAAACGTCTCAAGAATCGTTTGACCGGAGGGTCTCCCGCATTCTTATCAAATCAGTGCCCGTGCAAGGTATCAAAATTCCGACGACAGTCTTCGTGTGGGCGACGGGTGGTCGCCTCAACCAGCAGGCACCGTAGGGTCCGTCCCTGGCCCCAGACAGCAGTCAAGGTGAGTCGGGAAACTCTATAAGCTGGAGAAGCGTTCATCTGAAGTGTTTTACAAATTTATTCATCCCTTGGGGCTCAAGCTATGAACATATGCGCCTCTTTGACTTCCCCCTTCGAACCTGAAAACGCGCCCCTGCATGGACGTCTCACCCCATCGACGGAATGTCAGTGCCTGTCACACCATTTGTGGCAATGTCAACATTTGTCAATCTCAGCCTGCTCTGGTTCTAGACCTCGCGCTTTTCTTGTATGTCATCAAATTCCCCATGGCCACTAGGTCTTAATGCTTTACTTAGTCACGCGGTATCATGCTCTGTTGGCGAACTTTAGGACTACTTCCGATCTAAAATCTGCTCGGATGCCCAATTTACCGTGCAGCCAATTTGGTAACTATGCAAGACTCAATACAGTGTTTCTGATTGCTCTCATCTATCGTGAAATCCGATTAGTTTCCTAATGATAAAATTGATACTGAATTTCAAATCTTTCTCCGAAGGTTACTTGATAAGCCCAGTGCATAGATTCAACTTTCAGGGCGCTTAGTAAGTACACGTAGACTCACACAGATGCAAGGTGCACACCACCACAGTGATTGTAGGGAATTTCACGCGCCGTTCGCATTCTAGGAAACCCAATTGAACTCACTGATCGACACAACAGTTCTCGTGTGCCTTATCTACGTATCATCGCCATTGGGTTGGCGGCCACAGCGGCTCTCTGTCTGTGTGTCAAATGCAAGCTGAGGTGGTTAGTGACTAAAGTAAGGTAGCCGTTCAAGTCCCTGGTCGGTCTGTGGCACTGTCATTGACATAATCCCCCGATGCTACATCGTGTTCCCTGGCTACAATGTGCTGCCGGCCAGCCAGGTTTACTACGTGCATGTTCCTTGCCTGGTTCACTGTCGCACGTAAATTGACATCGTGCCAAGCTGTTGGTATCTCGCACCTAGCTTTGCCTGGAAGCCGGGACAACAATAACGCTGGAAGATCATTGTTTCATCGTTCTTTCTCATGGGAACAGCATGGCAATTTTCCCCTTGAATATGTACATGTAGTGTTTGGATGCGTAGAAAAGCTCATTGCCGATGCTACAGGCCTCGATGTCCTGACAACCTAATTACGCTGAGCTTGAGACAAACGGAATTAACGATTCAGGTGATACATGTCGATGTGCTTCCATTGATGTCATAGGGCTCCTAAACTTCATTAGCTGGTAAGAAACCAGGACGAGTTGACGCCGCAGATAGTCAGTGGAACCATGGATCACTATAATTCATGAACACATTGGTACGTGGTGCCCACTTTGGGGTATTTACCTACCCAGTTGACAACGAGTTTTGCACTTCTCGGTCCTGCTCTCAACATATCATGTGGCTGCTCGCCACCGTAACACGTCATTTTCATCGGCTAGTTCAGCCGCGAACACCCTTCCGAATTCAATGATGTTTTACTGCTTTCTCCAAATCTGGCCTTGGTCTGTCTCGTAGGGTAGGCCTTACCTGGCTGAGTACCTTAACACTAAGACTCAACACACCGGCGAAAATGGTCGGGACTCACCCTCTCCCCGCCCAATTTGGCCGTTCCGCCCATGTTCAGCGGGCGGCGAAATTGGCCCAATTACACGCTCTTTGCACGGAATTAGAAAGTGAATCTCTTCGGGCCACTCTCAGTCAACAGGTGGCACTCTAATTTGTAGCTCTTCAATGCAAGACACTACTGGACATTATATAAAGTGAGATGTTTCCTTGTCGGCTTATTACATCTCAAAATCTGGACTAAGATATTCAGCACACGCGTGTTCTCATCACTGTTACAAAACATCACTCAGACTACTCTACTTTACCTGACTTTGAAACTTCCTTCTTCAATATGTCCATTGCTCTCGTCACTGGAGGTAACGCCGGCATTGGTGAGGCTGTCGTTCGACAGCTCGCCAAAATCCCGGGCTTTCATGTTGTCATAGGATCTCGCAATCTTGAGCATGGCTCTAGGCTTGCCGAATCTCTCAAAACCGAGAACTGCTCAGTCTCTTCTATTCAGCTCGATATTACCTCTGACGAATCGATCTTGAAGGCTATCGAGTCCATTCAGAAGACTCACGGAAGACTCGATGTCCTTATCAACAATGCAGGCATTCTGCTCGATACATACCCCGATTTGTTTAGCTCCACTCGAGATCTTTTCAGAAAGACCTACGAAACCAACGTCTTTGGAACAGCCGTTCTAAGTGAAGCAGCTCTTCCTCTCTTACGCCAATCTGAGTACCCGCGCATCATCTTCGTATCGTCCCAGATGGGTTCTCTGAAGTCGACTTTGGACGAGAGTATGCCCTTCTACAACGTTGACTACAAAGCATACGATGGCAGCAAGGCAGCTGTCAACATCTTGGCTGCCAACTATGCCCGTATCCTCAAGGATGTTGGCGGGGCTTCGAATGCTGTTTGCCCCGGCTTGGTCAGAACGAAACTAACTGGATGGATGGATGCCGGGGCACCGACTTCTGTTGGTGCGGAAAGAATCGTGGAGTTGGCAATTGCAAGTCCGGGTGGACCGACTGGCACGTTCTCTAACAGAGAGGGTCCGCTCGCGTGGTAGCATAGACATACAGGCTCATCAGTGTATCGGTTCAGGCCGCCTCAGTGTAGAGAGGGAACGCAAATGGCAGACTTGGACGTGTTCTAGCCGTCTCGGTTCCAATTGCTTGAGAGACCGACCAGACCACGTCCTAGAATACACAGGAGACCAGTAGTACAATCTATAAAGCTCATCTTACATACTAGTCCCTCAATCTACATCATCGCCGTCACTAAATTCATGAGCAACCCGATGTTATCCACTCCTGAGTTCCATCTATCAAGCGTTTCTGCATGAACTGCGTCGTTGGCATGTTGATGGCTTTCCAGAAGCTCCCGAAAATAAACCAGATCCTTACCCCGCTTTGGAAGATTTCCCAACGCTTTTGTTTCTTCGTCCCATGATTCTGGCGTTGTAGCACCCCATTGTACTTTGTGACATGGCAGTAGCAATTCTCTCCATGTGTCAAGAACGCTGCAAGATATGCCTACCTTAACGGTGGCTACCTGCGCTACCAAGAACCACACACAAGCAATTCTGACGCGTCTTTTTGTCAGCTCGTTGAACGTTGAGTAAAAACTTTTCGAAATCCACTTACCTTATTCGAGACTCGTCCAATATCCAATCTTCCCATGAATGCGAACTCTTAGAGTCTACACTACATGTAGTATCAGTCATGGCCATGAATTGTTTCCAAAACGCCTTGTCAAAATTTGTCAGCCGCGACGCATTCCATAGAACTTATGATCTTCGGTAGCAGAAGGTACCTCATAAGCCAACAGCATGTGGGTGTTGTAGTCACGGTCTGCAAGAGTGCTTCCACCGCCGGCGACGACACGCATGATGATATATACCAGTTCTGCTTGTATTGAGGCGAAAATGTCTTTTTTGCTATATCTAACCATCTGTTTGGCAAAGTCAGCATTCTCAACTCATCTGGTAGGGCAGGGTGCACTATTCCAACTTCGCTGAGATTTCTGTCCTGCTCCTTTCGAATTGATTGCCATAAGAACGAACTAGTGTCTGGGTTTCGAGATACGAACAAAATCGCTATGCCCATACAGTTTGCCAGTGGCTCGGGAAGATGGCTCTTGTCCTGGTATTGGTGTATGAAGGGAGGAAATGTTGACCTTCGCAGCATCATTTCGGGATATGAGCGCAGCGCCTGTTTGATCATATTTGCGCTGCCATTGGCCGCCGCCTTTGGCTCCTTGATGAATTGAAGTGGAAAGACGATCCAAGAGGTGTTTGATGTCACGCGCCTGCCAAGATTTACTGAATGTGGCAGTATCTGCCGGTACGGTTCTGGTGATGGAGACAAATAGGTGTCACCGACCACCAGGTCCTCCGTTATGTGACCAAGTCCAGGTTCCGTCAGAGGGAAGTTGCCAAAAGCGACTTCATCCGGCAGTTCAATCATTTGCGAGAATGGATCCCATCGTACTTGATGATCAAAAGTCGAAGCCTCTGGTGCAAAAATAGACTGAGGATTAGCTGAATCCAAGCCCAGGAGACTCGGCGCCCAAACTTGTGCGTTGAGGGCCTCTGTGCTGGCTGTGGGCTCTTGAGTTCTGTTTTCTGCGTAGGTGCAGTCTAGTCCTTTCTTTGTGCAACGCGTACAGCGAGCTTGTAAGCTACACTTATGTTTGGCTGCGCTGCATTCTCGACAAGGCTTCGGTCGGCTTCGGGGTCGGTCTTTTGTTCGTCGACAGTAAGACACATGCCGCTTCAGTGCAGTCTCTATTTTGGAGATTTTAAGTCAGTTCTCGCGCTGAAATAAGAGGCAGACGCAGTAATTAGCTAAGGACACACCTTGGCTGAAGGGCTTGCTACATAGTGCACAGAAGAACACGCCAGCTGATACGCTGTTCGTGGTAAAGATCGTGTCAAGAATTTCAGAGCCGCTCATGTTTGGTCAATACACCTAATGAGCATCATTCTCGCGTGAAGCTCTTGAGACATGGGTTAATCCAGTCAATTATGGAAATCAGACATTTATGTCCTTGAGGGAATAACTCCAATAATTCAAGCAGTTGTTTTTGTCAGCAACCAGCTTGGAGACTGACCCGACAAAGATCCTGCGGAGATAAGCTCAAATTCCGGGTCTAGAAGCTCAAGCAGATGTCACACCAATTCTTCAATCTATAGCACCTAATTTGCGAACAGTTGTCGTCACAGCGTCAAAATCATCTTTGATGGTGAGAATCTCGGTGAACCTCGAGAATATCACTTTTGGGGCAGTATGGGAAGCTGCCGTCTCCGCAGTATCCGTACACCGTACCCATGCCGTAAAGAAAAGAGGCTGCGTATGGCTTGAATTTGACATAAGCCAGGGGGCCTCGACTGATAGCATGAGGTTACGGGTCTCAATAAGGATATCATGGTCTAAAAGCGCGGCGAACAAGCGCAAAAGGACACAAGTGTCCATCCATCGCTTAGAGGGGTGAGCTATGCATGGGGTCCAAATAAAGCGATAAGCGAGACAGCCGACGATAGTCCAGAATATTGCCAAGTAACTCAGGCATACGGATTGCTTCAAGGCGGGACCCTGGGCCAAAGCCAAGGAGCGGTTTGAGTTCAACAGTGCGCTAGAGCCCGGAGTGACAGTCGCCACCTACTGTCGTGTCGCTTTCTGAGCAGCCAGATTGACAGGAGCACCGGGCGGCGGGATGGCGATCTGCCATGACCGAGACCACGGGTGGAAGTACTGTTTTGAAGCCTGGAGCGCACAAATGTCAAGAGGTGCATGGCAGCCCAATAGGGGTGATAGAAGAGCGCGAGAAGTGTGTGGCAGGATCGGCGGCTGCACTTGATGGTGTTGACGAGAGTAAGGATTGACAGGGGCAAGTAGAACCCAATGGGAAGAGCCGCAGATGAGGGCACATCGGCCTCGGACGGTGATAGGTGATTGTTAGACAGATGAATACTTAAGTACAGTGGCACGAATTCTACAAAATTGCATTGCCCGAGTGCGAGTAAGGTGAGGGTCCCGTCGGAAGCGGCAACCCGAAAAGACGACGTTCTTTTGCTGTTTGGGGCAAAACGTACAGAGTCACCGATGTATCAATGTGAGCTCACTCATAGTGAGGAGACTTGACCGATCTGGAGCCCTGCAATCACCCGCCCGTTCAGACCCTCATTCGCAGGGCGGACACCTAGTACGGAGTGCTCTGTCAAAGACTCACATTTTTATGATCATGCCAATCAACCATGACGACGGACAGCGGCTAACGGCTCTCGGCCAAGCTGTCGGTGTTGGACAAACGACGTCAGGAACGTTGTGTCGGTGCTGGGTAGCAATACAGGAACATGAAATGGGAAGACTGGGGTCATTTGAAAGTGAAGCTGTACAACCTCATCGTGCGTGCGTCATGCAACAGCAAGCTGAAGCAGCAGCATCGTGGCAAGGAGAGACATCGAAAAGCAAGACTGGCGTGACTCGGGAACAAGTAGAGGAATGGTAAAACATTGTAATCGCGTGACTGAAGAGAGGCAGCATCGGAAGTTAGGATTTATCGGGGATTGATAATGAGCCATGCGATTTTGGGTGCGGGTAGCGGCCCTCACAGTTTACTTCAAGATTGTACGGTGCTTGACCGGTTGTTGGCTGCGATGCGGTGAGGAGGGCTGGAAAGCAGGAAGGGAGCTGGAAAGGCGGATGGAAAGGGGCCCACTTCCAGGCACGTTGTCCGCCCCTGGGCCCCAGGGGATAAAGGATCGGAAAGGCGGAAAGAAGCCGGAGAGTAGATGGGCAGGGACAAGGCCTGTGGTTGAGGTGAGACTGTGAGAGTGACTGAGTCTGAGTGAGGCGCGAGGTGAGAGCGTCAGCTCACTGATAACTCGTGAGAGACGAGACGAGACGAGGGAGAGAGGTGGGCCTGGCCGAGCTGGCAGTTTTTTCTCCCCGCTCCCCCTCCCACGCGTTATTGGTGTGAGAGGTTAAAAACTTCACGCTACCTATTCGTATGTACGGAGTAGACAGATCGAGAATCAGACTGGGAGGCTTGGGAGCGTTAAGTCACTAAGGTGGCTCCTCATCCGACCGGCCCCGTCTAGTCTCAGGCTCTCAGCTCCCAAAGTCACGAATCACCCTTTCCGTTTGGCCAGTTCCATCCCCATTCCATCCGTCTTGTCTCCTTTGGAATGGCCAGCTGCAAGTCGCGACCTGCAACGAGGCCCAAATGCACAAAAAGGCGCTCAGAGCTTCTTCCGGGGCCAATCGCCGGGGTGTCGCCTCACCCTGAGCGGCCTGGGCTGGCCTTGTGGCCCCTATGAAGACAGGGGAGGGGGTGGTGGTTATTTTCTGTCTCCCGGTTTTCAGGGAGTGTGACGAAGAAAGAAGACGTGGACTTGTCACCGTGACTGACTGTGACTGCGAATGCGACCGTGATGAGAAGCTGGGTAATCTATCCGTAGACATAGGCGCGAAAGGGGCAGATTTGCGCTCCCATCACTGGGCTCTCATTCATTAATTGGGTTTGGGCATTTGGCTTCTACCTCCTCGCTGGCTCACTTCCAATGTTTTCCCAAAGATTGGAAGCCAGTCATAGCGTGTAATTGTGAGCCGATGCTGTCCGCCGTTGTATTTCATGTCGAAAAGCCCCTCTCATCCCGCATCGTCCCCCGTTTCTCGATTTCTCTTGCGACCTTCCTCCCTCCCTCCCCGCTCTTTTCCTCTCATATCAGCCAACATATCGTGGCCTCGCAACCCATCTCACTACGCATCGCAAGGGAGAGAAAGAGAGAAGAAGAGAGAGACCGGGATATCCGTACAAACACATACCAAACGCTCACCTGCATCTCACACCGTCATATCGGAATCTCCCATACCGTTGACAGAAAACGACAGAACATCTCCATCCACGTCCCCTCTACAGATATCAGGCAAGAGAGAAACCTGCACGGTTCCCAGCCTCTGTATCCCCACATCGCTTTCGTCCGGCTGCCAGCCGTTGTTCGTCGTCCACTTTAACATCAACGGCTAAACCTCCCACGGACCGCGATCTTCTCAGTGCCACTGCCACGAGTGCCACAGCATCTCGGGGGGGTCTTTGAGTCTTGACCCGTTTCTGTGACTTTGTGGGGGCCGATTTGCAAACCCGTCCTCGGTGTCCTCCACCCCTTGTCACCCAAGTCGGTACTCGCTTCCGTTTGGAATTGTGACGGTGGAGTAGTGTTAGGGGCCTCCTTTCCTTCACCGCATCGTCAACAGCGAGGGACCCTGCCCCCAAAAGCGCCCAGAAGTGTCCCGAGTGCCCTTCAAGTGGCTCCCCGCGACAACGAACAAGACGGGATCACTTTGGCGGTGGACTGGGCTCCCTCTGAGACCAGCCTCCCCCTTCCTCTCAGAGTCCTGACGGAAACCTTCTTGGCCAAGCCAAGCCCGTCTCGTAGCACCCTGGAGCCTGTCGTCACTTAAAAGAAGGGAAAGCTTCAAAATCGACTAGTACCGCCCGCACCAACACCACCATACTAGGTCACCGCCTGTGTGTGTGTCTCTCACACACTCATCCTCTACCTTGACGCACTCACACACACTCTCACACACACATACACATCACTTGCTCGGTGAAAGACGCCGAGCAGGTGAACTGAGATATATCATCATGGCCCTCACGCAGACAGTCACTATCATCAATAATTCGGGCAAGATTATAAGTACCGTAAGTCTCTTTCTCTGGCTCACACCCGTTGCATTTCCCCCCACCGCCCCTCATCAGACTCCATGCCCACTCGATCCAGCCCTTGAATTCGGCCGTCAGCACTGCGCGCAACAACATTCGACATGCAAACAATGCATACGCACTACAACTCTCAGCCGAGCGATGAAGCCCAATAGCTGACGTATCATCTTCGCTTCTGCAGGGAAAACACCTGGCTGGTATCTTCAAAGAAGCCAAGGCTTCCTACCAGGAGAAAAAGGCGGCCATCAAGGCCGACCGGGAGGTTCTGAAGCGCGCCCAGACCTTTGATACTTCTCGCGATCTCCCTCCCGAAGCCTTCGATCGCCGCTACTCGCACGACGATGGCCGCTCCGTCGCCAGCTCTAGGAGAAGTCATCGATCGAGACGCTCCCAGTCAAGCCACCGCGATGTCGAGTACTATCCACGTTCGAGACCTGCTCTGACCGAGAACAACCTCAAGACACATTCCGAAGTCTCCAGCGTCACGCCATCAAGAGCGCCTCCCTCCGCATACCGTGCTCCTTATGCCGAAACGGCTCCCCGCGACGTGGCTTTGAGCCGCCCGACCTTGCCGCATTACACCACAGCCCCGTCTTGCAGCGACAGTCTCGCAGACTCGGCAACAATCCGTGGCTCCATGGTTCCCCGTACCATGTCCGCGCCTGTTATACCCAAGGGTCGCAAAGAGAAGGAAATCGATATGGACCTCGCATACGGCAACATTCCTCCCGATCTGAAGGATCGCACTGATCTGGATCCCCTTACCAAGGAGAAGGAGGCTAAGACACTCATCTCCAGGGTCGAGGGACTGCTCGACGAAGCCAAGTGCGCACACCACTCCGCCACCGCTACCATCGCCCATCTGCAAGGAAATCCCGATGCCGCCGCCGCTGTCGCCTTGACGCTAGCGGAATTGTCCACGCTCTTGAAACAGATGTCGCCTGCCTTCTTATCTGTGATCAAGGGAGGCTCGCCGGCCGTTTTTGCGCTTTTGGCATCGCCTCAATTCCTCATTGCCGCCGGTGCAAGTATCGGCCTCACGGTGGTCATGTTCGGCGGGTGGAAGATTGTGAAGCAGATAAAGGACGCCCAGGCCCAGAAACAGGCAGCTATCGCCAACGCAATGGCCTTCGAGGCACAACCCGCACCGCAGGCCATCGAGTATGCACAACACGATCAGTACGACCAGTACGACCAGTATGACCCCTACCAGCAGCCACGGGAGGGGAGCGTACGGGAAGGGAGCGTCCGCGAGGGGAGTGTTGCCTACGACGAGGCATATGTTCTCGACCCTCGACTTGACGAGGAGCTTAGCTCCATCGAGAGTTGGCGCCGCGGGATTGCCCCTGCAGGCGATGATGAGAGTGTTGATATGGAGCTCATCAGCCCTGAGGCCGCGCGTTCGATGCTTGGAGACGACACCCGTACTGAGCGGAGTTTCCGGACACAACGCAGTTCCAAGACGCACCGCAGCTCGAGGACGGAGAGGACCGAGAGGTCGGAGAGGTCGCACCACTCATCCAGGTCGCACCGCAGCACCCGCGAGTCCGAGGTGCCCGAACGCAAGAGCAGTGTTGCAAGGTCCGAGGCTGCGAGATCTGAAAGAGACGCCGAGAGTGTCGCCAGCAGCCACCGAAGTCACCGCAGCTCTGCTTCCAAGCGCAGTACACGCGCGCCGACACTAGCAATTGAGGACGGCAGTCGCCAGAAGGAAGATGAGGCTATCGAAGCGGTTCTCCGACCCAAGAAAAACAACATGCTCAAGTCCCTGTTCAAGAAGAAGGAGAAGGAACACAGAGATAGAGATGAAAGGGTGTCTGCTCTGGTGTTCTAGGATGTGACCACGAAGAAGACGTTACAGATGAGGACAACGAAGATAGGATGTGACCACGAAGAAGACGTTACAGATGAGGACAACGAAGAATGGAAATGATGCATATGGCTTGGGCGGTTTCCCAGCCTGGACGGAGTTGGGATTATAATTGGTACGCATAAAGGAGGACGTGGCTTGGAATCGGCCCTCACTTTGCATTGTTGTCGGGAATACATTATTCATTCAAGAGGAAAACATACTGACAATTATTGTTACATCATCTTTGAGCGATAAAAACTTTTCTATTTCGGAACAGTAGATAGTATCGCAATTTACACGCAAGAAACATGTTTTCTGTACTCGCATCTCTATCGCAATGGGCAGGCTAGGTGCAGGGGACGGCGTTGTAAAAAGCGAACGATGGCAGTCGCAGCAGGTGATTGTCGGTCAGCAAATTGAAGATGCTCAATCGATCTGGTCTCCGCTAATCTAGTGGGAGAGGCATGGCATACTTTTGACGCTGCCGCAGTTGTGGCCGGGAGCAGCGAAGAGGCGTAGGGCTGAACCGGAGATGGACGAGATCGGAAAACAAAGTCAGACGGCCAAAAGCAAGTTTGTTCTTCAGCTGAACGGTGCCAGGCTCACCAGCGAATGGCGGCACTTAAGTTACAGGAGGACTAGAAAAGCCAAAAAAGACAACGGTCTCTTCCGGGTACGAGATGGCACATTGAAGATGCATGTCAGCTTTATGTTGTCAGTCCCCTTGGCCAACAGAACGCCGCCCTTGGGTATCGCAGCGGCGGCACACAATTCTTGGGGTTCCCACATCGCACAGCCGTTGCCCCCTTTGCGCCGGTCACTCATGTCGTTCGTTCTTCACCCAACCCCGGTGGCGGGCGGGCCTTTGCTACCTATCACTTCCCATGCTGCATTTGGCTGTAGCCTATCCACAAGGTGACCATGAACCGTATACTTGGGTGGCCAGGACATGGAAGTTGGCAAGAGATCTTGCTTCATGATCGGATGACTACCTTTAGTTCATCGACACTGAGACTTTTTCACGACGTCTGAAATTCTCGGCCCTTGAATTCGAGAGCATTCCTCTCTTACTTCGCTTGATACTCTCCACGAGGAGGCATCCTTCAATAGCTCAGTATCCGTTGGTGTGGGAAAGGACGCAGACTCAGTCACAGCCCCCAAACTCTCATTTTCCGTCATCTCACCTCATCATCAACCCTGCAGGTTGCGTTGGAACTACCACAACTTACGTCCCATCTCTCATCTCACTGTCATCCTTTTCGGCCCCACGAGGCGGTGTCACCCATGGAAAACTCTTTGGATCCTCCCGATGAGAAGGGGAATGCAACCTCAGCTGTGTCTAGATGATGACGGAGCACCTCGTCCCACCTCATCAAACAAAGCCATCCACGGATGCGAGTGCGATCAAAGGCAGCAGCATATGGTCAAGCCCAGATGTCAGAATATGAAGGGACCAACAAGGCTCCCGGGTTTCTCTCGAGGCATATCCCGGCCGCCACATGCAGCCATCACCAATCACACACATCATTTACCCCCAATGTTGGTCGGGAACGCCAGTCCTGCGCCATCACCTCGAGCTGAGCCAACTTGGCTGCAGTGGCCAGCCCCGAAGTAGCGACCAGGTAAGGTCTTCGTAAAGTCAAGTGCAGCTCGACGCAGGTCGCATCGTCCCTCCCCTTGTTCGTTATTCGTACGTCCGGAGATGGAGGGCGGGAGGAGCCACATGCATCCATCACCTCCGGCAAGTGTTGGTAGCTGTGTTTCCCCAAGCCTTACGAGACAACATGCAAGCTGTCTTATCAGTTGTCTTTCTTCTATTGCTTTCCCTCAATTCGTACTTCCCCTCTCACTCCATTGTTCTTCAAAGATTTTGTTCTTCAGCACCGGTGCCCTCCCTCCTCGTTGGATGCCGCTTGCCCAGAACACTTCAAATAATAATCCACACAACTTAACCTTTCAGCCCAACAAGTTGCTGAGATTCAGAGGATCCAACTTCTGCAATCTTTCACATTGACCTCGCTGAAGAATTCAATCATCAAATGTGCCTAGGGCGACCACCCAATAGCCAAGACTCTGTGCCACGCCGAGTAACGTCACTATCTGGTTGTCGCATTCCCTCAAACCACCACCAACACCACATCATCTTCTATCCCTGGGCCTCATCCGCCTGGGTTGACCAGCCATGATGGAGGGCAAACCCGGCGACGAAGGGCTAGGCCTGCGGGAAAGGGACATCCAAGATCGAAACGATATTCAGATGACGCCGTCGGCTGAGTGGCATCCCACTCGCCAATTTGCTCGGAAGCCGATCAACGGGCCACAGACGCCGACAACGCCGGCACCCATCGGCAGCCCGTACGGGCCTTTCGGAAGAAGCCCGCCGACGCCTTCCGCCAAATCACCACAACCGTCCTTTTCCGAACGAGCTGCCGGCGCCGCAGCGTACTTCCCGGCACCGGCGAGCGGGAACAATGCGTCTTCTCAGCGACCGAGGCCGGCGCCATTGCAAATGGATGGGCACGAGTATTCAAACTATTCTGCCTCTTACTCCAGCCTAAGCACGCCGTATACGGGCGGACTTTCTACTGGAGGGCTTCCACCAAAACGACATAGAAGCGTTCGAGTCGATTCTCAGTCCTCGGCGACCGGTCTACTCTCACCACCGTGGCATGGTCCTCCGCCTAACCGACCACAGTCAATGTACTATCCCCCGGAGCAAATTCGGCTTTTCAACAAGTACTGGCATCCGTCATGGAATATGTATTTTTTCCTCTTCGCCGGGATCGCATTTGCCCTCGGCCACCATTTTTTCTATGCCGGCCTTGACGGAACAGAGGCCAACGGCCAGATTCGCATGCTCCGCTACGGCGCTGCATTGTCTTTCCTCAGCAAGGCAAGTCTTGGATCGGCTGTGATCCTAGCCTTCCGACAAAGAGTATGGATGACGGTCCGCCGAAAGATGCTTACCCTCGCTGCCGTGGATTCGCTCTTTGCCGCGGCGGAAGACATGACTGCCATTTTCAACATTGAAGTCTTCCGCCAAGCTAGGATCGCCATGATCTTGGCCATCTATGTGTGGTGTACCCCTCTCGTCGTGGTTCTCACCTCAGACACTCTAACTGCTCAACCTGCGACGACACGCCAGACCACGACGTGCCCGTCCATTCGCACTCTCAACTTTGCACAGGAAGAAACCAATGACTTTCGTACAGGAACGAAGATTAACAACCTTTTTGAGCTTTCCACTTCTCTATGGAACACAACTACCTTGAATCAGTCCAGCGAAGACTTCTTTGACTATTGGATCGGAACGAGCTGGCAATTCGAGGAGATATCTACTTCAGCAATTCTGGGCAAGAAACCGCTCTCGCGGACGAATGCAAGTCTTGATGTTTGCGGCATGGGCTGGAACTGTTCATTCACCATTCAGTTCAAGGGCCCCGGATACAAGTGCGAAGAGCTTGCCAACGGCGTCGGGTCGACACCGAAGAAGCTCAACGGCGCCGAGGTGCCCTTCAACATGAGCATGCTTGCCCCGGTGGGCAATCATACCTACATTGCTCATGCCACCGCTGGCGAGTACCAGAATCCTCAGATGAACGACACTGGCCCTGCAGGTGTCATCAACACGCCACCGCCATATCCGCAAAACCTCGGCGCTCTCCGTGTGGAGCCGGTGCTCTGGTTCGGCATCGCTGAGGTCGACGAGCCATCCGAGCCCCAGCCGATGAACCCCGCCTTGCCCGAATGGCAAACGGCTTACACCCCAAAGGTGTTTGGCTGCGAGCATCGAGAGACGGAGTATGAGGTCGACTTCAACTACACGGGTCTCACTCAAAAGACCACTGTCCGAAAGCGAACGTTCTTCGACCGCATCGTCGATACCCGCTACCTCCCCGGCGTCGACGCTCAAGATGGAACAGCGGACAACACCACAGGCACTCCGGAGTCGAACTACATCTTCCCGCAGGACGTGGCTCGTTACCGTAGAACAATGGCATATCACTCCATAGGCTACCAATTCCGCCAATACATCAACGGAACAATCTTTCAACCCAACACCGACGCCAACACCAAAATCCTGCAGACGCGCATCCTCGACCAGCACAACTACCTCGTCGTCAAGGACTTTATGTTCCAGGTCCAGAGCCTCTACGAAGACATCCTCATCTCCATGTTCTCTCAGCCACGCCTCCTCGCCGTCGTCTGGGCCAACGACACGAGCGAGAAGACGGGCACCCGTCTCGGTGACAACCACACCTACCCCTGCACCCGCGAGCGAACCGACCTACGCTACAAGTACCACGCCCGCGACCTCTGGGCCGTCTACTCCGTCGCTATCCTACTCGCCATTGTTGGCGTGGCCTTTGGTCTTGCCGCCGTCCGCGAAGAGGGCCTCGTCCGCAATACGCGCTTCAGCAGCATCGTCGCGGCGACCCGCGGCCCGGGTCTCGAGAAGCTCCCGTGGGCAACGACGCCCAACAGCGACCATCGGCCCGTCGCAGGCGCCAAGGTCGGCTACGGCCTCGTACCCAAGGATCCGCACGCGGGAGGCGTCGAGACGTACGGTTTCGGGCTGGAGGGAGACGTCAAGCAACCGCAGAGGGAGCGTGAGCAGCGTGACGACTCGGGGCGGACGCCATCGAGGTTGGGTAGTCCCTTTCAAAGGGGCCCATTCAATCGGAGGTGGTCTAGATTGAGTGGTCAACCATAAGATCGAGTGCTTCTTTTACTATCTAGATATCCAGGCTGTACCGTAAGCGTAGTCCATGCTTTATTTAGCCTTTGTTTTTACTACTTCATGCTTCTTTGCTGCTGGAAATACAACAATGAATAACTCTATTCAGTCTTTGTAATGAGCAATGCGACAGAACAAGAGACGGACAGATGCACGGGAAAGAAGGGCTACAGCACAGGCTAGAGAGCCCCTCACAGTTGTCATTCTGGGTCAAGTGTAGCATTGAGAGAGCTCATAATCACAATGTATAAACTGTCTACTGCAAGAAAAAGACGCGAACCACTATGTGATAATTGATGTACCATAAACCGTTTCATTTCGTGCGGCTTTTGCCTGATATCTACATTATCCCATACAACGAAGTGGTATATGCGCTCTGCGCGGCCCAGGAATCATGCAAACGCCCGCCTTTTTTGTTTTCAAGCCCCGCCTGTGGCTGTTAAAACGCCGAGAATGTGAGGGTAGAAGAAGCCCATCCAACACCGCCCTACCAATGTCATTATGCCATCATGCGGTTTCCCCCTGGTGGATGCTGTTTTGCCCGTCGTAATATGCTTGTTCGTGAAAACTCCTGTTGTCCTATCTTGATATTCCTTCGTCATTATAAGTCTTCAGCCAGAAGAGCGCGGACTTCTGGTTCGTTGAGGAGCTTGCGTTCGCCAAGCTCGGAGAGAGGTTTGCCATCACGGACAGCGCCAAAGTCGAGAATCTGTCATGTGTTGGTTAGCAAATTGTCTGATGAATCTCCAGAGGAGAAACTTACCTCGACATAGGTCAAGCTGTCTCGCTGAACAGCTGCAACACAACGCCTCTGGTCGAACTTGACC